ATAACACCTCCACAGTAGCAGAAGCTGGCAACTTCTTAGCACCCGGACTTGCATTTCCACTCCCACTGGGACTCCACCTAGGGCTCGCACGAGTATCCAAAGACACAGACCGAGGCGCCTTGAGCGTCGAATCCGAAGAACCACCAGACCCAGATCCAGACGAATTCGGGTCCTCGACAGTAGATTTTGGCGAATCCAAGTGATCCTGATTCGGTGTAGAACCTCTCCAAGGCCAGAACAACCCTCCGAGTCCAGTAAGCGAACCAAGGCCCGTGGGTTTGGGAGCGCGTTCTTTAGGTTCTTTGACTGAAGATGCTGCATCTTCGGTGCCGTTGGAATCCGCTTCGTTAATAATGGCCTCTGATTTTATTGTGTCCTCCGAGTCAACTACGGGGGTCGTCATGGAAAGGCAGATTGAGACTCGGGAGTATCAATTATCTGACGCTCTATTGAAGCCTCGTTGGTAAGAGAATGGTCTTGTGAGAGCGAGTCTCCTTCACGTTCAAGCTCCGCTTGCGCTTCCGCGTCGACGTTGGCAACGACAGCGAAGTCATTTCCTTGCGGCATCGAATGCACTGGAATAGGGACGTTGACAGGAAGGGGACTAATGGCTTCCTCCTCCGCTTTTTCTAATTTTGGAGGAGCTGGTGCTGGAACTCTCGAAGGTAACGTGACAACTGACGTTGTGGCGATACTTTGAGTAGAAGAGGTGCTGGTGCTGGCGTTGATACTGCAATAGAAAGAAAAAAAACCACGGAAGATTAGTACAGAATGCAGGAGTAAGCAACTTGACCCACCTTCAACAACGTCCACCTCCCTAAACCCAACCCTCCAATTCTTCCCTCCATTATTATCCCACCACTCTCCGCCCGCATTCCCAGTCGTAAACCTCCCAACAAACTCGACGATCCTCCCAGGACCCACCGCAGGCGGAAGCGTTATCCTAAATGCGAATCGGTCCCATTCAGCCTGGTTTTCGTTTTCATTACTAGACGTTGCGGGTATGGCCACGATGTCGCCGAGTGTCCGCGGAGGGTTGACACCAGAGGATCGACTTTGAAGCAACGAGATCAAATGGGATCTCCCAACCGACCCAACCCATTTTCCTCTAACCTCACTAACTGTCGCCCAGGAATCCGCTGTGAACCGTACAAAGACGTGTTTCTCAAAGGTGATGTTTCGTACGAGGAAGCTTCCTTCTAGACTAGCGGCAGGGAAGAGGAGGACGACTCTGAAGGAGCCTCGAGATGAAGTTCCTCCAGGAACACATTCGTCGAGGCACTCATACCCAATAACGCATCTCGGACTGACTCTGGTCGAGGGATCTGGACGGCAGGAGACATGTCCAATTCCACCTTGACCTTCTTGCTTCTAGACCTAGATCTATGCGGTAGGGCATATTCGACATGCTCCAGCATCCGCCTTTTCCGTCCCAGTCCCAATCTTCCGCGCGCGGGTGGAATCAGATTCACTACTGCTTCCATCGTCTTTGCTCCCTGGAGTACGGGTCCGACCAAGCTTAGGGAGACGTGGGAACGGGAACGACGACGCGTTCGCTGAATCTATCAGGCTGAATTTGGTTCTTGGTGCCAGGAGAGGTCTTTGACGGAGCAGCAGCATTCCAAAGGCCTTTTCCACCCCAGGTTCCGCTTCCCCAATAACTTCGATATCCATACCCATAATCCCTATCAGTCTCAGTTTCAGTCTCCGTTTCCTCACCCCCATTCCCACTTCCTGCTCCATCTGCTTCTGCTTCTGTTCCCTCAACTCCATTCACACTTCGATTACTATGCACATTATTCGTCAGCTCCTTCCTCGTAATCAACAAACTACTCGGTCTCGCCTCCTTCCTAAACAGCTTGACGTGCTCAAGGTCGGATGAGAGAGATGGAAAATGCACGTTGCGAGGGGAGAGGAGGGTGCCACCAGGGGACATTAGAGCCGCGCATTCAGAGAGTGAGGGCGACAAAGGACCCAGAGGTGTTGCTGCCGGAGATGGATAGGCATCTGAGCCCGATGGATGGGAAGGAGCAGACTGCGCTCGAACATGACCGCTGAACAAGACTGATGCCGATGCCGACGGCGGAGCCAGCAGATAATTCGAATTTGAGTTCGAGTCTGGGCCCCCAAACGAGGCCAGAGACCCAAAAGAAGGCGCAGGCATCCCATCAATCAGCGGACTCGTCATGGGAGAGCCAACTACAGAGTTCGTAGCCGAATGGTCTGGGGATGGCCGTGGTGAGGTAGAAGGAGAAGGTGCAGCAGAGCCTATTGGTGAGCCTAATACTGAAGATGCACGAGAGCCTTTGAGAGAGCTGCGTAAAGGCTTTCCTGTGGATAAAAGGATGACTGCAGGTACACCAGCGGGAGAATTAGCAGTGGATGAAGGCTGAGTAACGGCTGGCGACGACGCTGTGCGCGCCAACGCTGGATTCGAAGACCTAGTCATTGTTACATTCGATGGAACGGTCGGTGGCAGGGGTATGGGTATAGGACCATTCTGCACAGGACTATCCGAAGATGTCTTTGGGAATGGGACACCCTGGGAAAAGGAGGGAAGAACTTGCACTTTCAACTTTAGAGGAGGCAAGGCAGAGTCATGATCTTCTTCTTCGCTACTACTGCCACCTCCACGTCTATCACCTATATGGAACTTTGACGTGGGGGGAGCGCTTGAATGTCTGCGAGGTAAGGCCCCAAGACCACTCCAAGCGCCACCGTTAACGTTACCGTTAGGGCTCCACTCGTTACTAAACCTCGTATTAGAGCTTGGTGAGGCTGAGCGCGGCGAAGAACCAGAACCAGAACCAAACCCAAATTGTGATTGGCTCGAGTACGAGCGTCGGTGTCCTGGTCTACCAAGTGAATGGGAAGGATTTTGGTTTTGGTTTTGGTTTTGGTGAGAATGGGGTGATACTGAGCGGGAATGATGGGAAAAAGATGGTGAAGAAGAACGACCTGAAGAATAGGACGGCGGAGAGTAGGGCATCGTTGAAGCTATTAATCTTCAGAAAGATTCAGAAATTGTGTCAAATAATTGCAGGATAAAATGCTCACCCAAGTCGCGTAAATTGTGGGTCTCCTTCAGCTGAAAGCATCCAATAAGTATCAGAGCAAATGGAAGAACAGAAGGAAGGTTACCAACCGCGTTCGCCTTTTTCAAATCCTCCAAGCCAGATTACTGCGAACAAGAACGCAGGACGAAAGTTTAAAGAGGATTTTAAGGCTACTTTTTTCGGACCGAGGTTTATCTATCCTGTGTAAACAGCTTAGATATCATATCGCGCAAACAAATTTAGAAACTTACTCAGTTCCACCGCTTCACGCGCCGAAAGCCGATTCAGGTGAAAGCGCGAAAAGAAGAAGACACTTGACTGGAAGAAAAGTCAGGCTAAAGAGAAATTTTCTGTGTCCTTCGTTCCCGGCCCTGCAAGCCTGCAGGTTCATGTAATGAAGAGATGATACCAAGACAATTCGGCCGAACCCGAGCAGTCGAGGTAAAGCGTGAGCAACTCTGATGTCACAACTTCGTCACTTTCGCTTTTCTTCACTCGATATGTCAGAATCAGCTCCACAGCGCTTTCTGCAGAGAACGTTGGTGTCCAAAACCAGCGCGCTCGTCTGATTGATACTGATGGCAGTAATTTATTCAAACATAACCGATAGAGTCGAGCGGAGGTAATCGATGGACGAGTAGAGAGGAATGGGAGATAACGACTCATATGCCGTATAATGGTCTGATTCTATCCGAGCGTTTCCTCGTCGCCATTGTCAGTGTTCTCAAGAAACGTGTGTCCCAAGGCCAAGAAGCCCACCCCTCTGAATTTTGAATCCAGAACCTCAGAGCTTTCAGCAAGATAAAGGCTGCTTCTACTGTATGCAGACGATAGATGCCTGATTCAGATGTTATTTTTTTTATTTAGTCAAGGGAGCGTCGCGAATTAATATTCCATACATTAAATGTTCGGAATAGTCAACCAGCGAGACAACGTACTGTACGCGTCCTGATGAAATTTGATTCAACGTCCCGCCACTGAAACACCAGTCAATAAAATCAACCAACCAAAGGAACGTCAAAGATAGAGAAACTCTATGTACTATGTATTGGAAGCAATAGAAATGGAGACCGCCGGCTTCAGATAAGACGGAAAAAGACCTTGGGACAGTCCACGGAAACTCGGAGAATAGGACATAGTCTGTTCGTAAATGGAAAAGTATACTTGGCCAGTGAGAGAAATAATAACGACCGAGCCAAGTTATTTCTGCCACATCATACATAGTGGCGTCCGGATCCCGTCGTCGATCCTTCACTCGGAGGTCGCTCCTAGAGTTCCGAGTTCAAGTCGCCGGTTTCACAGGTTTATAAGCACTTCTATGAGGAGCTGTAGAGGTAGTCAAGTACATGATAAAATAGATTCAGCACCGGAGTTTGGGGACTTACAATTACTCCTCGAAGGAAGAGCTCACCAAGACACTATTGAAACAATATTGACTCGGACACCTTGGACTGCGCATTCACTGGCAGCCCGGGATACAGAAAAGGCGTTCTATTACTATTAATCTCAGGACCTCCCGACATCCCTGGACCATCCTTACTTGACGGTAGATGACAGAGCAGTCTCCGGCGAGTATGAGTTTGAATCTTGACGATGAGTCAGATAGGCTTGGCCTCCGGGTCATATATCTTGAGCTAATAGACCCATGGATGACCGGATTTCATTGCTTCGTCCAAGCCAAACGTAATGTAGCTCGTAGGGAAGAACCGGAATTTAGAGCCTAATACAATTAGTGGCTGAGCTGGAACTTGATAAGCGAATTTCAGAGGGTTCAGGATAAGCAGAAGAAATGAACTTGAAGGAGTTGATTGGCATGGACGTTCAAAGCATTCTGGAAATGTTGAAATAAATTTCTGTCGTCCAACTCTAACACCTCGAAGTCCCTTTGGCCAGGCACGCTAGCTCTAAAGTAGATGAAATGTCTCTTTAACCCAGGCACGGTGAGGCGCTATAGCCAAGTGGTTACGGCGACAGATTCGAATTTTCTACAATCGAAGTTGCTATCTGTTCCTCTTTGAGGGCGCAGGTTCAATCCTGCTGGCGTCGTGATGTTGTATATAGTTGAAATTCAGTCATTTTTTTTTCACAACGCAAGTAGCTACGCTGCGAAATGCATACTGTAAGTTCTTTTATTTTGAATCTGCTGTCCATAAGTACATAACGTTATTCCAGGACTAACCTTTCCATGGCAGGTGGAAGCGAAGCGACTTATTCCAGAGAGAAATTCTTCATCGCACATCGCAAAGAAATTTTGAGTTTGTTGTCCCTGAGGGTTCTTACAAGGACTTTGAATTTAGAGCGGCCTCTTCTCAAACCACCCTTCCTCCGAGTCTGATCTATCCAAGTTCTACCGTCTGATCAGAACAGTTACCGTAATAAGTGCATCGCCGCTCTTCACAGAACAGTCTGACGACCAAGTCTGAGAACGCTTTTCGACTTCTTCTTCGGCGTTATCCGCCCCCGCTCATTCTTACTACTGTACTTAGTGATAGATGCTTGATTCAGATGATTTTTTCTACATATAATTTAACGAAGGGAGTAGACAGAATGCTCTTCGAGGCAACGATTGAAACCTTACATTAAATGTTCGGAATCGTTTCGGAATAAACCACTGCCAGCGAAGCACAACTGTAACGACGTGGTACTTACGCGTCACATTCGCAAGCACCCGCTGATATGGTGAAATTTGAATCGACATACTGTCAAGACCGTTTGATACAAGTTAGCTTTTAAACTTGAAATGAAACCAGATGAAAACGTCAAAGATAAGGAGTTTATACACCGCATATATGTTACTCCTGAACGCTGACGGGATTCGGAGAATCGGACGACATTGTGTATTCAATGGTATTAGTAAGTATTTTACTGGAATACAGAGAAAAGGCACCAACCATCTATTTCGCTGACTTGAGTCAGGATCGCTTTCTGTCAGTGTATACAGAGGATGTCGATCATAGTGTGTCCCCGGTCCCGCCGTCGACACTCGACACTACTCGACATCACTTCAGCTTCACTGGAGAGAGCCATTAGTCAAGGGCCGAGAACTTGCAGGTCGCTTCTGGCAGCTTGTTCTTGGCTGGTTACACATCCGACAAGTCGCTGATGCACAGTCATACCCACCCTTGGATAGAACCTCTCCAGACCTCTCCCCGGCCCTAAGCAGGCTGGGACTCGAGTAAGAAGGTTAGTACACTTTGTATTTGGTTAGCTCGAGTTCTAGATGCACATTAGAAAAATTTGAGCCCCGCTTGGCGATTGACTCGGAAAGTCAGCTCTCTGTGTGACCGTTTTACGGTAGGGATTAAGGCGCTAATCTTATGCATACGAGTGCTAGTAGTATACGCAACTGATTAACATTTCTGCGATGGATACAGTGAAGGCACTACGGCAGAAATTCTTGAAAAAAGTTGTTGTTGTTGCTCCCGAGGGTCTGCAGATCACAGAAACGCATCCAAGCTAGTGAGTCGGGATCTGAGTCTGGCATAAAGGAGTCTAGGGGCACTTATACGTACAACGCGTATGGATGAAATAAAGAAATCAATGGAGGGAAGAACCTGACCTTACGCCTCATCAACGGGAATATCACGAATCACGATGAGAATTTAGAAGCAAATACAAAGGAGATGTCCGTGTCTTTGTGGACGTTCTCTCGGGTCCATTCGACAAGCATATGTTAGGACTTAGAGCTCACATTGTCTTTTCTCATGGTTTGACATTGAAGAAAATATCGTCCCAGGCCGTATCATCGGCCTTTGCCAATTACTGCAACAATAAGGATGGATCCGAGGACCAGACGCATCCATTCATTTGAGCTACATATCAATCATAGTCGGTCATTCGTGAAGCAAGCTTCGGGCGAAAGAATATATATTTCAAGCCCCAGAATTTAAATATGGAAGGTCTTCCAGCATGATAACTCCAGCTCACGCGCAATGAACTTTGAACATCAGAGGTACTTGGTGCTTGTCGACGAGCAACGGATACGAATATTCAGATATATTCTCAAGCAGGCAAACACAAATCATGAAACTTTTCTGATTCATCAGATAAGTAAATCCAACAGCTCTAGCTTCCTAGTACGATTTTACGCTTTGACATACAGAATAACTTGAATTTATATTCCGTCAAATTGACGTTGTATATTTCGTACTTGCAAAAAAATAGTCTTTGTCCCTTGTGTTTCACAATCACTCAAATTTCCTGTTTGGTTGCGGAGGAAAGGGTGGGCAGCTGGGCAGGCTTAGTAGCAGTAAAAGAGCCAGCGACAGTGAGCTCTCCTAGCCCCTGCCGCACGGTCAGGTCACTACCCATTTTCGCAACCTAAGTATCAAAAAAAGTAACCAAGTAACTAACCGAGCGAGGAAACCTGCACGGTAAATTTTGACAGAATTTCAAGTCCACGCGTGGCGTGTCAAAGCGTATAATCGTAAGTGACGTCCGGCGTCTCCAATTGGGTTAGTGACAGATTATACTACATAGCCTATCTCTCGACGTTAATGGTCAGCTGAAAACGAGCTCGGCCTAAGTATAGTCTTGGGCCTTAGTCAATTCTGCGGATCACTTTCATAGCCTCGTACGCCTCCTAGCTAACTGGCGGCGTGATACGCGGTCCGGCCGTGCTGAGTCTTACACACTGGACGCTTGAAGCTTGAAGCCTTGAATTCTTCTTCAAAAAGGTTGTCAACAGGAGGCTGTAGGAGTTGTATTAAATCTCTCGCTCAAAAGCCGGGGTCTGAGTTCGAAATTGATGAGGCACTTCCATCTTAGTCACGCACGCCAAACTTGAATAGTCGCATACTTACTTAAATTTTTCAGTTCACAAACTGCGCCGGTATAATTCGACTTGAGCTAAGGAACAAGTTCCGTAGACGAAAGAAACAATAAATGTGAAAGTGCAGACGTTAAAGTGGTCGTTTGGGGCTGGCTGTTAGCTAAACGCTAAGGATCCCTGTGCTAACAACGACAGCCTCCTAGAGGGGACTGCTTTAACATAGCCGGCCGTTACCCCGCCTTGAGGTGGCGCGAAGGTGCCTTAGGGTGGAGCCGAGCATCAATCCATCTATCAATCTCAAGGAACGCATCTTCAATCAGCTTCGATCGCGTTGATTGAAATTCAGAAACTACCTACTGATACACCAATTGGCTCGTTTTACCTATAGCTCCAGCCTCAGAGAGACGAGTTACTCTCGCGCTACTAGCCAAGTCGAAAGATGTCCGCGCATCTGCAACTTAAAGATTTGGAATATCTTGCGAAGAAAAAGTGGTACTCGATCTACTCCTGTCGAACCTTCCCTGCACGCTGATCACAGACACAGACACGACGGCACCCTAGCTCTGAAATTCGTTATTTATACTCGATGGGGAGTTCGTTCTGGACCGCCGCTCCCCCAAATCTAGACTTCCAGCTATGTCCATGAACACGTCGTTTCCCTCTCAAGGACTGCAGGTGCTCAGCTGTCTAATCCACATCTTGGGTAAGACTTACACCCCTTTTACACCGTTCGCATCCAATCATACCCTTGCTTCATAGGTATATCGGTTCTTTCCCATTGTCTGTCGCGTCGTTTAGCTGCGGAAGAATGGACTTCTTGGACCGCACTCAGGGAGATGTCGTGGGCTCGTATGTGTGTCCTGCTAGTCTTCATTGATTCTTGGTTATTCGTCTTTACCAGTAAGTATCAGCCTAATGATCATCATCAATAAGTTTACGAACTTTGTGACTTTATAGGTGGAATCCTTGTCTTTGGCATTGGTCTAGATTCTACGGAAATAGTTTGTGCGATGGGCATCTATATTTGCGTCATGTTTTATGCGACGTCAAAGCTTCTCATTTATGCCTTTTTGGGTTTGTGGTTTCTTCCCTAACAGAACTCTCAAATGCTAAAGTCTCTTTTTTTGTAGCCGAGAAAGTTTTCCTCGTCTGGAGTCCGTCCATTAGCTCTAGGAGGCTCAAATCTTCCGTCTACCTTGGTTGCATGGGCATGATTGCAGTGTATGGGATCGTCATCACGATCATGGTTATCGGTAAATCGTCTCTGACAACAATTCCTTCCATCTCTGATGCTTCACTTCGCCGGCAGGTAGGATTCACTACCTAAGAGAGAGCGACGGAGTGTGCATCATAGGTCTCAAGCCTTACTCCAGTTTAACGCTGCTGAGCTATGACCTGTGAGTCTCGCTATCGTGAGGATCCAAGCACAGGACTCACATCATAGATATAGATTCATTAACATCGTCCTAACTTTGATGTTCCTCTGGCCAATTATTAGATCAAATTTGACCAACCCTCGGCTCAAGTCGGTCGCTGTTCGAACCTTAGTGGCTTCAGGTGCTGCGCTCACAACCTCTACTGTAAGCCAACACATACTTTAATCTGTTCTCTTTGTCCTGACGATGTATCTATAGATCAATATGCTGGTTTTAGCAATGGTAAGTAACTTCAGGACAAAGTAGCTTTAATTACTGACGTTTGCATTAGCTTCACGGACACGAAAGAGGATGGCTCTGCCTAGGATCATGCGGTTCAGACGTATGTCCACGCCTTATTCTGTTCTTTTTACTCATTTAAAAAAGTTCCACAGGTCATCTTCAATGCTCTAGTCATCTTTTGGGTCACAAAGGCTTCCAATGGTCAAAATCCTAGTACCACCAGCAATAACGGTGGCCCAGGGAGCGGCACCACTGGTAGACGCCCTCCCCAAATCAAGGTTCATGGAGACAATGCGAGCAAATATGTGATTAGTAGCCCGCCACCAGTGCCATCGCCACAAAGTGCTGTATTCTCCTTCGATGGCTCCCGTGCATCCTCGAGTGTTTTGAAAACCCCGTCGACCTCTCCAAAATATAAATCCATTTTCACGCGGCCCTTTTCTCCGCATAGAGAAGAAGATGAATTCGAGGACGTGGAGATGCAAGGAGTTCCAAAGAATTCCATGATCAAGTCGAAAAAGGGACGGATGTTCCGTGGTGATCCTGGAGAACAAGCCGTCCAGGTATATTTACTATCCAGAAACGTTTGTCCTTTACTCACTGAATGCCGAAGGTCA